CTCTTTTAGAAGAATACTAACATACACTTTTCTTGTCTTTAAATTATTCCTTGGATATAACACTTTCAGAAAAATATGACCATGTGGAAAGTTTAATGCACATTTTTTTCCGGGTATCAGAAGAATACATCCTTAAATGCGTTTGCTTTATGTGTACATCTTACACGAACTTAGGTTGTCCGATCCTCAGGTCCCAAAAAAAGGAGTTACTAGGTAATGCCAAAATGCGGATACTTTGAAAATGCAAACAAAAATGTCTCTGAATCTTTAATTAAAATGTGTATTCAAAGTTTATCATTAACGTTAATCGTATCATATAAAAAAAATTAAAGGTATCCAGACATTTTGAGGACAATGCATTTTTTTCATTATTTTGATTTTAAGTTCTATTTACATGTGAGACTTTACAGCACATTTTTTAAAACTTCATATCATGCTAAAACATTTGTATCTAAAGCTAGCTGCAGAACTGTAGCTCTCTGCTTGAGAAAATTCGGACAGAAAAAGCAGATAGCTAAAAGATGCAAGCGTTATAAAAACCTTCGATTTACGCTGACGATTTTTGTTGATACTTTAGGTATTATTTCATGTAGATTTCTCTGGCGTTTAGAATGGTATCATATATAATTAATCATATTTAACTCTTATTTTTCATACTTTATTTACCTTTTCACGGTCCGAAAAAGTCCTGTATAATAGTTTTGTAAAGTCGGTTTAAAAAGAGTGAAAGGCAAGTAAATTTTCAGGAATTGGTGTTACATACATGTATATGATTAATTTTAAATACTATTTTTTAAAGCTAGGGAAAATATAAAATACAAGAAATAATACCCGAAGAGAGCGACTAAAAACTTCGGCGTAAATCGAAGGTTTTTACAATGCTTGGATCTGTAGCTCCGAATTTTCTCAAGCAGAGAGCTACAGTTCTGCAGCTAATCTAAATCTAGATTAAAGATATTTGATGTCTATAACAAGGGCCAACGGGCCTTATAGGTCTGAGTATCACGTAGCAACTTTCCAACAATTGAATTTGGTTCGTTTTTAAACCAGAGGCCATGAAATTCACAATTTCGATAGAGGCACTATTCTTTATCATTACTATACTCTTAGTATGCTTACTTTGGCTTATTAATACCCAGAGGTAGATCAGAGTAACAAAGAGAAAAATGCATTTCCACTTTAAAACCAACTGTGCACCCCATCCCACAGGATCGACTGACCCTGGGGCCACATATTTCACAATTTTGTAGATTTTATCTTTAATTTTATTCATCATAAATAGTTAATACCAAAGAGCAGATTTCAGGGCATTAATATATAACCATAATATGTACCCCCCCCCCCCCCCAGTTCCCCTGCCCTGAAATTAACCATTTTGGAAGTGGCATCTTTCTATGTACAGAGATCATTGGCATAATACCCAGGACCAAAGGAAACGATTTTCAAGATTTCATGCATTTTCACCATATAATCAATAGAGCCCCACCCCAACACCGGAACCCCTGACACAGGGGCCCTAAAATTCACAAATTTGGAAGAGGCATCCTTCCTCATCATAACTATGTAATAGTTCATTATTTGTATAATACCTAGAAGCAGATGAGAAGATTTTTAAAAAAATTATGCATTTTCACTATATAGTTATTATCAATAGAGCTCCGCCCTAACACCAGAACCTTTTACCCAGGGACCATGAAATTCACAATTTTGGAAGAAGCAGCCTTATTCAACATAACTACATGTATGTACTTTGTTAATCTAATAAATACCAAGCCTCACCCTTACACCAGAGCCCCCGACCCTGGGGCCATGAAATTCACAATTTTAGACGAAATTCTTGTTCATTATAACTAGAAACATCTTCGCTAGCCAAGGGTTTTCGGTCCGCACCGCTCCCCGTAAACCCTTGGCCGATATGCACTGTAAAACGCCGGTCACACATAGCGCCATCTGTAAATCTCCTGAAAGAACGATAATTCTGGTTGTAGCAAACAGCCAATGAAATGATTGCTTTTAAGTATGTTTCGGTAGAAAATTATTACACAATATGGCGACTTCCATTGAAACAACATTTGGAATACAAAAATTAATTCTTTCCAATGCTGTAACGGACAGACGTGGTGTGTTCATAGGAACAAAAACGGGTTTACACATGCATTAGAATTTCCTCGAAAACTTCTCAAAAAATCTAGGCCGTAAATTGAAAACAGTTTTTTCATTGGTCCACGGTCGGCTACAACTCTCCCATGAAAATTGTCCGGCGTTTTACAATGCATATCGGCCAAGGGTTTATGGGGAGAGTTGTGGACCGAAAACTCTTGGCTAGCGAAGATGAACTAGGAACATAGTTCATTGGTTTAATACCCAGGAGCAGAGGAGACAATTTAAAGAATTTATGCATTTTACTATATGATCAATAGAGCCCCGTCCTAACACCAAAACCCCCACTCCTGGGGCCATGAAAATCACAATTTAAGAGAAGACATTCTTGCTCATCATGATTATGTACTTGGTTAGTTTAATAAATACCCAGGAGCAGAGAAGATTTTTAAAAAAACATCATGCATTTTCACTATATAATCTATATAGCCCCGCCCTAGCACTAGAACCCCTGACCCTGGGGCCATGAATTTCACAATATGGTAGAGCACTCAATGCCGATTACAATCATGCCAACAGTTTGACTGCTTGATGACTAGGAGTAGATGAGAAGATTTTTAAAGATTGCATTTATTTTAGTGGTTTTGGCCCCACCCCTCAGGACCCAGGGGGGCAGGGACCATGGAATTCACAATTTTGTTCCCCTACACCCCATGAATGCTTTATGCTAAAATTAGTTGAAATTGGTTGAGCGTTTGCAGAGAAGAAGCTGAAAATGTTCAAATGTTAACGCACGACGACGGACGAACACAGATAGCAACAGGTCAATGCATTTATTTTTGTACTTCATGAGGGTACAAATGTACAATTTTTAAAAGACAGTCTCTAAGACTTCAAAGAGTATTCAGAAATACTGAGATGCTTAAAATGAAAATTTCTGCTTAAAAAGAGTTCTTGAGACTTTTAAAATTTAATGATATCCTTCCTAGCTGAGGATCGGATATCCTCAATACATGTATTTGATTGCCAATGTTGAAACTTTTATTGATAAAGTAAACAGTGAACAAACACTTTATCTTTCTTTATCCGGATTATCTTCTTTTTTAAGGGTTTATGAAAAAATGTGATTATTACTCGCCTTAGAATTAGGAACGACCCACGCTCCAGAAATTTGATAGATTTTTCTGTTTCTGATATTTGAATAAAAGATTTGTGAGAAAATCAATACATTATTTTAATTACAAGAAAAAAAGAATGAATTCAGATTGACAAGATTTATAAACACAAGTAATATGCTCAAGACAACTAACAGAAATTCCAATAATACTAATTGTTTTTGTTGCAGCTATAAATATTAACCGTATTAGTATACAATGTAATGCTAGTATACAAGTCTAAGAATCAAAAGTCAGATGGTCTTGCCAAATCCCGATGGTCTGCGCCAAACTCCGATGGTTTCCTGTCGGCATGGATGCCAAAATCCAATTGTCACGCCAAAGTCCGATGCATATCATATGGATTGTTTCCAATGAGACGCGATGCGCTAAAGTGCGATGATATGACACGCTAAGGTCCAATATTTACATTTGCTGTGTTTTTCTTCTAAGCTAACTGTATTGAATACCATTTTCGTGTGTACTCGCGCGTAGAATTATACACGGAGAAACGTGTGCTAATGTGACATATTTGATTGACATATATATATATGCAAATATTGTGTATTGTTTAATATTTACATTTGCAAATGTTTTTCTTTATATAACACTACTGAAAGGAATGCATATCTATAACTGTATAAATACAGGTACGAGGTCAAGAGGTCAAAGATGTGCGTATGGATAATCGTTTGACGTAATTTCTCAGTGACGTCATAAAGGGTCGACGCGCGTTCAGTGGATTACATACTTGCCGTTGAGTTTGAAAAATAATGCATTCTCACACGCTAAAAGTCACAGTCAGGCAAATATAAAGTATGAATAAGTCACAAATGTAAATATAAGTAATAAGGTATCATTTTAAAACATCTATCGGGCTATAAATACGGGTTGGTACGAGATTAAATTCATCATAAAGCCCTTCGGGCTTTATGGAATTTAATCTCGTGACCAACCCGTATTTATATCCCAATAGATGTTTAAAAATGATACCTTATTTCTTAAGAGACGTCACCGTATGCTGGAAAAGGGCTTCAAATTTTGATCTCTACTCGGCACTCAGGGTAATTGAGCAGTGAGGGTTCTTTATCGTGCCACGCCTACCGTGATACGGGACCTACGTTTTTAAGGTCATATCCGAAAGACACGTGACTTTCACTTCTAATGCCGAGCACTTGGTGAAGGAACAGTCACTACTTATGTTTACGTCTTAGGTTTGATGCGGCGACGAGAATTGAAAGTACCAAAACTGTACTCAATTTTTGAATTTCTCGCTGCCCTTTGTCCGTTTTTGAAGCCTCATTGTGACGTCACGTTAAAGTGAGTTTCTCTGTGTATATTTCTATGCATGAGCATACACGAAAATGGTCTTCAAATCAATTTCCACACTTAGTATAAGTATAAAAAAAAACTGCGGATGTAAATTTACCTCAATAACTCACACATGCATTTTATTCTTTAGCTGATTGCTTGCACCTTCCAGAGATATAAGGAATAGTCCTTGCAGATCACCCGACTGACTGGGTTAGACCTTGCTTGACACTTTACGATTAGTTCTCATGCACTAGGCGAGTTGATTCGGGTTAGTCTCGCACCCACCCATTATATCTAGGTTATCGTTGTTACATTGCAGTTAAGTGCAGTTTTTACTATGACGTCATAAACATTAATTGTTTTCCTGACACATCGGACTTTGGCGTGCCAAACCATCGGGGTCGGACTATTGCGTCCTATATTCATTTTGTATCACCAGTAATAATAAAATAAAGGCTTGCGATTTTTTGCATTGAATGCTATAGCATAACTTCTTGAATTGTATACATTTCTCTTATCATTCTTGTTGCAAGTCTCATCCCTTTTATATTTCTTTTGAGGTTCACGTTTTAATTTGTTTTTTCTATGTATAATATACACAAGTAAAACACATATGCCTATTGTAACTAAAATGAGGAAAGACACCCCTGTTGTCATTGCAGCAAACGTAGTTGGAGTAAACCCCAGTCTGTCTAAGTAACTGAGATCCGTGGTAGTTACTACAGTTGTTGTCGATTGTTTAGGTGTAGTTGTGCTTTCTATTACTAAGGTTGATGAATGCGGTTGAGATGAAGTTATATCCTCTGTTGTTGATAAAGATACTTGTTGCGTTGAAGTTGTTGGAGAGTCTACAGTTGATAAATGCTGAGTGGAAGATGTACTATCTTGTGTTGTTGAAGGTGGCTGTTGCATTGAAGGTGTGGTTTCGATTGTCGTTGAAGACAGTTCTTGCGTTAGAACTGTGCTATCCAGTGTCTTCGAAGATGCTTGTTGCGTTAATGTTGTGCTCTCGATTGTTTCTACAGTTGATAAATGCTGAGTGGGAGATGTACTATCTTGTGTTGTTGAAGGTGGCTGTTGCATTGAAGTTGTGGTTTCGATAGTCGTTGAAGAAAGTTCTTGCGTTAGAACTGTGCTATTCAATGTCGTCGAAGGTGCTTGTTGCGTTAATGATGTGCTCTCGATTGTTTCTACAGTTGATAAATGCTGAGTGGAAGATGTACTATCTTGTGTTGTTGAAGGTGGCTGTTGCATTGAAGTTGTGGTTTCGATAGTCGTTGAAGAAAGTTCTTGCGTTAGAACTGTGCTATTCAATGTCGTCGAAGGTGCTTGTTGCGTTAATTTTGTGCTCTCGATTGTTTCTACAGTTGATAAATGCTGAGTGGAAGATGTACTATCTTGTGTTGTTGAAGGTGGCTGTTGCATTGAAGTTGTGGTTTCGATCGCCGTTGAAGACAGTTCCTGCGTTAAAACTGTGCTATCCAATGTTGTCGAGGATGCCTGTTGTGTTAATGTTGTGCTTTCGATTGTTTCTACTGAGAAAAATTGAAAAAGTAATCTGGATTTTTTTTAAATTCACAGATGTATTCTTAACTGTACAATAAAAATGATTACTCTTTCCTTTAAAAAAAAATACCATTTTAAAAGAAATTATCATGAAACTGAATCAACTGATTAAGTGATCGTGCTTTTCATTGAACTATGTAGTAACTCTGGTTTATGCTATGTTTAATTTTTTTATTTTCTATAATAATTATTCTTTATTACCATTAAGGTTATAGAACACTCAATTACAAGAAATTTTTACCATTGTGTAAGCAAAGAAGACCATAACTTGATGTTTTAATCTGTTTAAAAATTTCTTGTATTAATTGATTTATGATTTGATGTTAAAGAATCTTAGAACAAGGTGTTTTTGTGAAACACTGATTGTAAACCCATTGAAAGCTTTTGTAACAGTGAATACCAATAAGAAGTATGAAAGCCCTAGCACCACTGTTTCAATAGTTATGGCCAAGGTCAAAATCCAAGATAAAGGGGTCAAGTTTGATGGTACCCGAAGAAAGGTCTTGTCAAAAGGAATACACAATCATGTGAAATATGAAAGTTATGGGCAAGGTTAAAGTTATTGAGGATAGACAGACGGACAGGTCAAAAACAATAAACCCCCGAATCTTCGATTACAGGAGCATAAAACTGTATTCAGATTTATTTTAATCAAATTAATTTATTTCTTAATACAAATCCTTATCCACTGCAGATTTTGAAAAAGATGTTGATTTTTTTTCCAATTACATGTAATCATACCAAGTCTTATTACTTTGTGATACATTGTTTTAACCAAAAACTTCATATATTGGCGAGAAATATCTTAATGAAAAAAATATTTAGTTAACATAAAATTTGAGTTTTAGTAACTTTCATAAGACTTACTTTTTAAAATGGCTTTTTATCAATAATAAAGTAATGAAATACAAGTGAAGTAGCTCACATACCCTACGCTCCCCCAAAACTCAAAGTGCCGAAATTCCCAGAAAAAAATAAAGGGAATCGGAATTTCTTGATGCACATGTACATATTGTGTTCTAAATGTCTGCAAAGTTTGACAAAATTTCTGTGCAGCGGTTTATTAGGAGTTGTGCTGACAAACTGTTCATCTCCATATTCAAAATATGGCCAAAAATCTTAGTGGAAAAGTGCCGAAATTCCCAGATTAATAAAGGCATCGGAATTCCGTGGTAATATGCACATCTACAAATTGTGTCCTAAATATCTGCAAAGTTTGACCAAATTCTGTGCAGCGGTTTATGAGGAGTTGTGCTGACAAACTGGTAATCCCTATATTAAAGGTATGGCCAAAAATCTAAGTTGAAAAGTGCGGAAATTCCCGGAAAAATAAAAGATTGGAATTTCCTGCAAATATGCATATCTACACATTGTGTTCTAAATGTCTGCGAAGTTTGACCAAATTTTGTGCAGCAGTTTATGAGGAGTTGCGCTGACAAACTGTTCATCTTCATATTCAAGGGTTGGCCAACAATCTGAGTTGAAAAGTGCGGAAATTCTCGAGAAAAATAAAGGAATTGGAATTCCCTCGTAATATGCACATCTACACATTATGTCCTTAATATCTGCAAAGGTAGACCAAATTCTGTGCAGCGGTTTATGAGGAGTTGCGCTGACAAAAAAAGGACTGACCGACTGACTGAAAGACGGGTAAAAACATTATACCTATCACAACTTGTAACGTGGGTTATAGTTACTTGAGATATTTAGTTCCTGTTTAAACAAACACTTTATGGACTCTGTTTTGTAATACTTTTTATGCGTTATGTCTTTTTCCCAATTCAATTATGTTTACATTATTACTATTTCTGATCAAATTTTTGAAGTAATCTTTATTATTTTAATGTCTATACTCCCATTTCAGATTCTCAGTTATATGATAATTATTGTATATCTTTATATTTATTTTAATCAAGCGCTTTAGAGTAATTTTAATCATATTTAGCGCTATACAAATTAAATAATGATAATAATAATTTGTACAAAGTTTAATTTTCAACTCCCCCCCCCCCCACATACATACATGCGCGTGTGTGTGTGTGTGTGTGTGTGTGTGTGTGTGTGTGTGTGTGTGTGTGTGTGTGTGTGTGTGTGTGTGTGTGTGTGTGTGTGTGTGTGTGTGTGTGTGTGTGTGTGTGTGTGTGTGTGTGTGTGTGTGTGTGTGTGTGTGTGTGTGTGTGTACATACACTCATGAAAATGAATAATCGTTGCAAACATGCATGTCTGTGATTCAATGATGTGCACAAAACAAAATAAACATAATATAGAAAAAATGATGAAACCAGAAAAAAATTATAATGATTATTGGCTACAAAACTAGGTTACAATTAACAAAAGCAAAGGCATAAAAATATAGCACTGTCGTAATAAACCACACCCAAATAAAAACGAACATATCTTGTAAAAGACAAA